AGATTACAGCCAAGAATACCCTGTGGGGCCGTTCTACTGTCACATGGTGTCGTTAAGAGTCAGAATTGACTCCAGGGCACCCAACAACAAACACCCCCCGCCCCGCAAAAGAAATGGTTGCCCTTTTAATACAATTTTCATAAGTTATCATGTCTGCAAATATCTAGCCTATAAAATTGGCCTTAGCCCCACCTGCTTCCTCATGCAGATTAACCATGTAAACTGCCTCCACATCTCACTCAGAGAGCACAAGGCAAAGGCATCATCTGGCTGCAGCTAACGCACTCTGAGCCCCCACCCCCACTCCTCAACTCAGATTCCCAAGAGAACCAATCAAAGACAGAGAATGTCAGAGTCAGCAACCTCTTTGGTCCTTAGGGCCTCGGAAGGGCTCAGTAGTGTCCACGGGGGATATCTAATGTGGTCTAAGGGATGGGCAAAAGAGATACAAAAAAAGGGGGGGGGGCGGGAATTGGGGAATATAGGGAAAAATAATGAGAGTGATAGAAAGATAAGATTAAAAAAACCAAGAAAGAAATGTTACGTGGAAGAGGACTAACAATGACTGCTTCACAGATCCACTCAGGATCCCTAGGCTGTAATTATCCATCTTAGCTATTCAGTTCTATAAGAGCTTTGGACCAGCACTAGAGACTCGGATTCTAATACCAGCACAGCCCCCTTGTGAGCTGGGTGGCCCTGGGCAGAGTGCTGGGTCTGTTTTTCATCTTGAATTTGATCACCTGGAAGATTCTTTTGAGTTTTAATAGTTCCTCATTCTGTTCCAAGGCTCTGTCTCATTAAGAACCTGTTTATGGGAATGTTATTTTGTTGTATGTATTACTGCAGAGAATCTAGGAGTGTGAGCTAGAAGAAACCATCAGAAGTGCATTTGTGTGTGTGTGTGTGTGTGTGTGTGTGTGTGTGTTGTGTTAATTAGCTAACCCTCCCATGTTGAAAGATTAGCTAATTAGTAAGAGCAGGCTCTGGCAAGCTGTGAAAACCCCATTTTAAAACCACCGAAGTGATGGGCCCAAGTTAGCATCTTTTGTTCATCTCTTCTGACTTGGTGGTGGCATGAGGTCTGGTTTCTGGGGCTCTGCAAAGCACACAGTGAGCCTGGTTCTTAGCATCCACGGGACGTATCATCTCTTCTTCCACAGCCCTTAATGAAGTGTGCAGCTCTTGTCCTCATTAGGCCCCAGCATTGTCAATAAACGAGTCAATAAACCCGGTTGATGGGGTTGGGACCGAGAGGCTGAGATGCAGCGGCCGCACATCCACAGGGCAGACGTCAGCTCCGCCGCATCGCCGCATCGCTGCATCGCCGCATGTCATAACCCAGTGTCCAGGGATCAATAACCAACTCAGAATAAGGCCCGAGAGCCTGTCCTCTGCAGTCTCCTCTCCAGACCCATTCCATCCAGGGTGGAGCAGTGCCAGCCGGCACCTGCTTTGCTTGCATTTGTTCCCATTCCATGCCATTCTGGGTGCCAGATGCTTCTGTTTCTTCCTGATTGAGCCCTCTGGACACTCCATGGATGCATATTTAGTGAATGCCCACCTGGCATGAGAACATACAGAAAGCCTCCCCTAGCAGCCCAGAGGCTGTCCTGGGCCCTATTTTCTGTGTCTTCTGTCTGCTGACAGTGTGTGTGGGGCTCCAGTGACAAGTAGGTATATCTTCTGCATGTTGTGCTGCTGGACTCCATTCTTGGCTGCTCTGCATCTCTTTAGATACCCTTATCTTATCTAATTACAAGGAATTTCAGATTAATTTCTTAGCCTCTGCTCCAAAGGACCTCTTATCAGTGAAGGCCTTGCACTTTAACCTTGTCATTCTTCTGCTGTTTGCCTTTAAGGGGCGGGCAGCTAAGATGTTGCTGGAATTGGGGCTTGTTGGGGGGTGGAGAGGGGAGGAAGAAGGAGGCAGACAGACCTGGGATTTGTGTATTCTGCTCCATTCCCCCGCCTGTGTGCAGAGACAGCTGGCTGCTTACTTTCATGACAGCCACATGGTACCCAGCCACACAGAACAGGACCCGGGCAGGGACTCATCTGCTGCCAACCTCTTCAGATCCCTTTGATATTTCTGACAGAGCAGTAAAGGACTCTTGACTATGACAGTTTGCCTTGCCTCTCTCCACCTCCTCTAAGACTCCTTGACGTGGTTTCCATGGCTACCCCAATCAGATTTGGCTTCCTTCGAAATTGGATTTCAAAGAAGGACAAGGTTTCAAAGGAATTTGTCCATTTAACAGAATGTCATTAGGAGTGAGGCTGACTGCTGAACCAGGGTCCTCAGATGATTAAGGAGTGGTTGTGTTCATATACGGAGGCAGGTTTCTGTCTGTAATGAGGAACCTTGATGCAACATGACAATACCATATTGGAATCTGCCAGTCACCCACCACATACTATCCAACCCTGCACCTCTCTCTTCCCCCACCTCTCTAAAACCCAGAGATTTCTGTGGGGAGGAATGGATGTAGAATACCTATGCAGTGAGTTTCTGCTCTTTCCCTTGGTATAAGTAAGCAATGAAAGGCAGTGAGGCCTTCAAGGATGTGCAATTACCTGGGTTTATTGTTCCTTATCAAATAACTCATTAGCTTGTAGCCTATATTAGCATGCGATACAATATCTTTGAAAAGGTGTGTGGGGGGGATTGTCAAATTTTCTTCCATTCCTGAGAGGGAAAGCAAGGCAGAGTGCTGAGGTTACATATAGGAGGGGTTTTGTTTCCTTTAAGGAACCCTGGTGGCACAGTGGTTAAAGGACTTGGTGGCTAACTGGAAAGGCCAGTGATTTGAAACTACCAGCTGCTCTGTGGGGGAAAGATGTGGCAGTCTGCTTCTGTAAACATTACAGCCTTGGAAACCCTATGGGGCAGTTCTACTCTATCCTATAGGGTCATTATGAGTCGGAATTGACTCAACAGCAGTGGGTTTGGTTTTTTGGTTTTTGTTTCCTTTGCTGGTTTTTTTCTTTTTTTAAATAAACTTTATTTTTTAAAACAGTTTTAGATTTACAAAAAAATTGTGATGATTGTACAGAGAGATCTCATATATCCTCCTTTGCTTTTAAACACATGGTATAAGTACTAAAAAAATGATTCAAGAACAGCTACAAGTTTATAGAAGAATGGGCAGTGAGGTTGGCGAAAGTGCCTCGGGGGTACCTGGTACTTGCTCAGGGGCCTGGAGGGGGCAGCCTGCCCATTACTACACCTTCCCAGGGCAAGAAGGAGGACCAGTAGGAGCCAGATTCCCTAGAGACTCCAGCCAGCCTTCTATCCCCACCCCTCAACTTGCTGCAACTTGTTGTGGGTGGGTCATGTGACTCTCAAACCAAGGCACCGTTCCTCTTCCATTTGCAGGATGCAGAAGTGCAAAGATGGCTCAAAGCCAGTGCACCCCTTCAAGGATCAAGTCTCCAACCCTGAGGCTGTATCTCGTTAACTACTGCACCACCAGGGCTCCTCTTCTCCTTGCTTCAGTTCACCATTATTTCCCTCTGATCCCACTGTAAAAACCACCTCACCCATCTTCCCGATGTCCGTTTTCTTACCACTCCCAATCCTTCCCACATATTCTGTAGGTCGAGTCTGAGAATACAAAACTCCATTTTACAAAGAAGGAAAACGGTAAAGGTGAAGTGAGATGTGAGGTCACATGCTACCACAGAGCTTTGATTAGGTCACCCTCTACCTCAAAAACTGTCAACAGCTCTGCAATGCCCATTCAATTGAATTACAAATCCCCTTTCTGACATTCAAGGCCCTTCACAATAGAGTTTCAATTTATCTTGACAGCCATAGTATCCCTACACCATGCAGTAAAAGAGGGCTACTAGCTGTTCCTCAAGTAGTAGAGGGCTTTTCCATCTTTGTTTACTCTGGTCCTTCCACCTGGAAAGCCCTCCTGACCCTTCAAAGTCTGGTGTGTTGTTCAGAGCCCATCTCAAATGACACATGCACTGCTAAACACAAGTACACTTGACTTCCTTCCTTTTCCTATATCCATCTCCCTCCCATGGCATTTTATACCTTTTTCATGGCACTTGGCCTATTGTATTTTTTAAAAAAGTAAACTATTTTAAGGTAACTGTAGATTCACATGCATTTGTAAGAAATGATACAGAGAGATCCTGTTCACCCTTCATCCAGCATCCCCCAACGGTAACATCTTGCAGTCCTACAGCATGATATTACAACTAGGATATTGACACCCATGTACTTTGAGTGAGGGGGAGAGAACACTCTCCTCTGTGATCTTGCCCTAGTCTCTATTCATTCTCCTCCCTTTGTCAGCTCTTAGAGGGAAAGGGCTCTGTACTCCTCCCTCTCTCTCAGCTTCCCTACCAGCATACCCCTTCCTCTCTCCACATCCTTTCAGCCTTAGAAAGAGACGCTTTGTCTCCCTGTGTCCATTGTTGCTGCTTCCGCTCCAACTCTCCCAAATGTTGGTGGCTTCATATTATTTACTGGGACTTACAATCATTTCCTTTAAACATCCAGTTTTACCTGAGATAGAGAACGTTCTGCCCTCGTTTTCTGGGCATGGGCTGTGTGGACGCGATCAGTTGAGTGGTGCTTCCTGGCTCGGACTAACCTCTTTCTTGGGTTCTGCCGGCCCACACCCCATTTCAGGCATCACTGTGGCTTCCAAGCCTTTACCCAACTGTTCAGTGCTTAGGACCGAAGGTCTAAAAGAGACGTGGTTCCTTTGAGTCATGTGAAGTCTTTCGTTTTGGCAAGGAGCCTGGGGGGAAACCCTTTGGCCTCGCATGGTGCAGCCATCCCGCCCCTCCATCCACTCCACCTGCGGACCTCAGGCCGCGGGCAAGAGTGCCGCGCGCCCCCGCGCACGGGCACGCCCCTCCCCCACGGCCGGGCTGCGCCCCTGGCCTCGAGCTCCACCGGGCGCGCCCCCGGCCCTCCGCGCGCGCCACTTCCTGAGCGCGCTTCGGGACCGCGGCCACGCCCTGCGGCTAGGCCAGGCTGAGGCGGCGGGAGACGACGGCAGAGTTACAGGTGTTTCCGCGGCGGCCCCCCGCTTCACGTTCCAGTCCGCCGGGCTTTGGAGCAGGCCTTCAAGTCCCTCTCCAGTCTCACACTCCGGCCTCGCTACGGTGCCCGCCAAATGCAGGCCGCCGTCACTCTCCCCGAGGAGATCCTTTGGCTCCTAGAAGGTAACGCCCTGGCCCAGCCCCCCGGCTCCCTCCCTCCACCGCCTGGGAAGTCCGTCAAGTGGTGAGCTGAAGGGAGGAAAGGAGACACCAGGGGTTCCCAAGGCCGGGCTTTCTCCTTAGCTCCTTCACTCACCTCCCTCTAGAACGCTCAAGGCTTCCAGAACCTTCAAAACTAGGTTTTCATCCACTCACTTCAAGGTCCCTTTCACTCTCTCCAGTTGCACATTTTCTTTTTCCTCAAGGCGTCTCCACTACACTTCACCTCCCAGACTTCTAAACTGCTCGAGGTTAGGTTCTTGGTCCTTTACCTGTCGTTTCCCCCTCAAGACTACCCCCTCCATCTGTAGGCTTTCCCCCTCCTCATCCCCTTTCCCCATCCCTGACTTCACCACCTTTCACAGAGGATCCTCACCTTCCTACTTAGAGGCCCCTGAGGTTCCATGAGGGACTCCCGGGTGACCCTCTGTTGGTCAAGGCCTGATGGTTAATGTCAGTTTTGTCAGTGCTGAAACCCCAGGCCTCACTTTATCAGCCTGCAGATGTCTAGGGAATCTCATTACTGAACCCAAGGCTAGCTATTATTCAGTATTACATTTCTTCCTTTTGTAGAATTGGCCCATTGTGGTGTGTTCATTTTCAAACTATAGTGTCTAAGCAATCTTTTTAAAAGGTTGAGGCCATACTCAGTAACACTCAACACGTACTTCTAACACTCTAAAGAGACTTTTCGCTAATGGGCAGTATCATCTGCTCAGTTCACACTTTTCATGGTGGAAGTAATTTTTGCTGTAGCTGACCTTCTAGGAAGGAGAGAGACCTGGAATCTGCAGTTAAATAACGGTCTCAGAGAAAACCATTTAGAATTAAGCCTTTTGGCTTCTAAGTGACATATTTGGCACATATTTAACAGATGGCCTTCTTTGGGCAGGTCATGCTTTTGGCAAGCAGCATTTTTTCGGTTTCTCTCAATTTAATTGGTTTTACATCTCCATTACCTTGTTATTTTGATATAAATGCCTCCTAATCAAATATTTGGCAAGTTCTTTAGATCTCTGCTTGTAACACCATTTCCATTCTGGATTGCGTCTATGTAAAAACTGTCAACTAGATATTTCCTTTGAGGTGAGGTTTCCAAAAACCATTTTAATTATGACCTGAGTGAGTCTAAAGTTTAGGAATAGAAAACTATTTACGAGGTAAAAGAGAGTTGCCAAGGTTGCTAAGATGAAGCAATCCAGCCTTTCGCTCTAGTGTTGAGTTGGCTATTGGTTCAATATTAGCCTTGTGACAAGAGGCTGTGTCTTTGGTTTCCAGGATGGAAGAAACTGTAGCAAGAAGTTTAATTCTGCTGTTGCATTTAAAGATATAAAGTGATTCTTTTTTTTTTGTATCTGTCATTTGATGAAAGGAAACCTATTTTACAAGCTTGTTAAACTAATACCTCAGTTTTGTGTGTAGCCTTGGTAGAGAATTCCTTTTTATTTTCAGAAGCTTGCAGTGAAACTCCTTCAACATTTTTGATATGCAGTCCTTTATTATTCAGAACTGACACTTTGGTAAACAACTCATTTCTGCACCTGCCAACTTCCTTTAACTTAGATTATTTTCTTGTTAGCTGACTGTTTTTAATTGAAGTCTTCAGATCTCCTTCTAAAGCAGAGCCTTTGTTTGCTGACAAGTAGAGCAGGGTATGAATGGAGATTAATTGCATGTCACATACTTCTGTATCAAACTTGCTGTGTCTTAACAATCTCTGTTGGTACTCGGGTCTTTACGATATAAAGAGGAGTCTGAGGTTAAATTTTAAAGAGCATCATTGGTCGTTGTATTTCTTTAAGGCATTTTTTTTTTTTAAGTTTGCAGTTAGAGTCTGAATCTCAAGTACAGGAAAAAAATGTAAAGTGGGATCCAGCCAGTGATTCTCTTGAAAAATAGTTGAAGATGTTTTTGAAACAGTCATGTCATAATACCAACTTATTGGTTGTAGGTTTAATTTTGTATGGAAAACAGTCTCTAGTGTAGACCAGCAGAATTATTCATTGTGTTACAAATAATTTGTGGATATTAGGAACCCAAAATGGCCATCAGTTGATCATCTGTTGCTGTTTACTCATCTCCCCTTCTTTGTAAGTTTAACTGTTGCCAGTTAGAAAATATGTAGGTCCGGATCTCTATATGGTCACACAATGGAAGGGAGTCACAGGATGTAAGAACTGCTTTAGTGCTGCCACATGGCCATGGGGTGGAGTTTCCACAATGAATTACTACTTTCATAAACCAAGGCATAAGCATTTGCACAGTGATTTAACGCTGGCCATCACAGCCATAACTTAAGCATTTATTTATTTATAACCACATGGGCATAAACGACGGGCGTTTTTTGACATAATGTCTGCTTTTAAAAATAAATATGCAAAGCATTGTAAAAGGTTTATGCCACACTTTTGCATAATGAAGAAGGAAACAGAAATTCTGAAGGTTTAAAATTAATTTTGTGTACAGATAAAATTTTAAACATTTGAAAATGTTTAATTTGACTGAGAAATCCCACTTCTAGGAATCCATGTTACTGAAATTAAAGTACATGAAGTACGTGTGCAAGGATACATCTTAAATGTCCATGAGTTGGGAAAGAATGAGGGGATGGTTGAATGAATTATGGGATATCCATATCATAGAATACTTTACAGCCATTAAAAAAAATGTGATATATTTATATATATGAACTCAGAAAATGTCCATGACATGTTTTTAAGACAAAAAAAAGCAAGATGCATATTAGTATTTGTAATATCCTATTTTTGTTTGAAAACAAACAAAACCAAAAAAAAAACCCACATACATATGTTTGTGTAAGCCTAGAAAGAAGTAGGAAAATTATACATCAAGCTGTTAACATTGGTTTCCTTGGGAGAGGAGTAAGAGAGTGTAAGAAGGAGATTATTAATTTTTATTTTGTGTATCTTTGTATTGCTTGAATTGTAACAATGAGTATGTATTACTTTTGTAATCAGGAAAAAACAAACTAAGGTTATTGAAAAGAAAAACAAAAGACAAATAGAAACTCAGAGAGGTAAGAGTGCTAATGGGTCACTAACCATGGTTGTGACTATGTTTTTCTCTTATTAGCCCTCGGAGTATGGAGGATGGGGAATTAAAATAAAGAAATTGTTCCAAATTTTGGCAAATGTCACAGCAATGAGAGGCTTCTAGAGTAACTCAGGAAACAGCTTCCTCAGATAGACTATGTCAAGCTCTCATACAGAAATAGTAACTAGTCTCATATCAGCAAAGAAGTCCCTTATAGATAAATAAAATGAAGGGAGTCTTCTGCCTTATTGAAAGAGGAGGAAATATTCAGGTCTGTTATCAAATCATTGGGCTGCAGATGTAGCAGTTATCTTTTTGTTTTTGTTTTGTGATAACACACTGAAAATAAAAATAACGGAGCGCTGGCAGTTTGCATAATCTTTGTTCCACAGATATAAACATAATCAGTTTCTTCCTTGTCTGTCAAGCCCCGTTTTTGAAGGTAGAAGCAAAAGAGGCAAGTATGAAGTAGTTAGAATAATTTTTTGTTGTTGTAGTTCACAGTTTGTTCAGTGTGATGAAATGTGGCCTACTGACTTTACCCTGATAGCTAATAGGTCCCACCTACCTACATGATACCTAAATCCTGCTTGGGATATGGATGTAAGCCAAAAGATGTCCACAACCAGCTGCGTTTAGTAGCAATTGCTGTTTTAACACTGATTCTCATATGCCTATGTTTACTTATTTTTTAAACTTCCTTGAAAAGAAATAGTCATTAATCATTTCCTTCCAGATTGTTCTCCAAATTTGTATTGGTTGTCGTAGCTGACCATAAAATCCTTTTCAATATAGTAAAACTTCAACTATGTGGAACTCACAAGAGTGAGTTGCTCTGGATTGCTGAGGATATTCTCTTTAAGCACCCTAACTCTTAATTTTAAACATTTGTGATCAATTTTTTTTCCCTAAAAGCCATTAGGAACTTTTCTGATTTCTTCAGCCAACCAATCTTGTATTCAAACTGACCTCCTTTGAACATGTTTTAATTCAGAGTTATAGTGAATATCTGCTATCATACTTTACAGAGATATATTGAGATATTTGTGCCATACTGCCCATGGGTTGGTTTTTGAGTGTCTATGTCTGTTTTTTATTTTTGCCATTTTTCCTGCTGTTAGGCCGAGGGCTATCAGTTTGCACTGCTGTCAGTATGTCTGCGTCCCTAATGCTACAGGAACATCAGATAACCAAGTTTGTTAGAATTAAGATATGTGTAAAGGAAGTATGAGGGGCTCTCGTTAGAATTAAGGTATGTGTAATGGAAGGTATAAGTGGCTCTCTTGATAGACAAAGTACCCAAGCCTTTATGCATGGACTTTGTGACGTGTATTTTGGCAGCTCAGAGTTTATTTTGCTTAAATTTTCATAGTGGGTTGTCTTCTAGATAGGTGAGGTTACTGGTCAATTGAGTTCTGAAAGGTGAAATATGATTATACTTTTATTTCTATTTTTATGTTAACTTTTTCTGATTATAGATGTAATAATGCTCATTGTAGAAAACACAATAATATGCAATCACATAGTCAACTACTGTTAACTCTCCAAATATTTCTTTCAGTTTTTATTATAAGTTCATACTTTGAAAGTTGACATATTGTGTATACAGTTTCGTATACTAATTCTTCCACTTAGTATTTCCATTTGCTGTTGTCTCCTGAGCATTTTCTTACGTCATTAATTTTTTTTTTTAATTCAAGTTATTTAGAAGTTATACATCCTATTTTTATTCCACTGGTGATTTTACCCTTATAGTTTAAAAAAAAAAAGATCAGTGTCCCTCTGATTAGCAACATTAGGAATGAAACAATATTGTTTGGCTCTTTCTTCCAGTGTAAAATGTGAAACTGTTAATATATTAGACACAGAGAATTATTAGTGTTTTTATTATATTTAAAGAATTAATTTTT